CTTATTCCACTAAGCAATCTCCCCAGCGGTAGTCATTTTTGATCTGTTTTGTCTCCCTGGTTTTCTCCCAGCCCTAATTAAAGGACACTAAGGAAGCAGTTTTTATTAAAGAATCAAGTGCGTTATTTAGAGCAAAAGCTATCTTTTGTAGCTCTTTTTTAATATCTGTAGTTTACTGAGTAATGAATTTATCAGAAAGAGTAATTTGGCCCACTATGGAATTAGGATCTAAGGCTGGGGAAATAGCTCAGTAGAATATTTGCTTGCCTGGCAAGAGGAAGGTCTTGAGTTCAATTCCCAGTACCGAAAAAAAAAAAAAAAAAAGCACACAAATGACCTTTATGGGCTGGGGAGATGGCTCAGGAGAATAAGTGCTTCCCTGGCAAGCACAAGGGCCTGAGTTTGATCCCAGGTTCCACCAAAAGAAAAAAAAAAAGTGAATTAGGATTTAGGGAAGTGTGTCTTACCAGTACCTCTATTAACTGTTCTAAGAAAACAGATTTTTTTTTTAATCTTTCTCTTGAAAAATAGTTGAAAATTTAAAACTAGAAGGCTTGGTTTTAGTTCTTAGACTTTCAAAAATACATCTTTTTCTGTTGTTGTTGTTTTTGCAGTTCCCGGGATAGAACTCAGGACCTTGCACTATCCAGGCAAGTTCTTATCCTACTGAGCTATCTCCTTGATCTATGAATGTACCCTTGAAAATGTCTTTTCCAATCTCTTGCCTGGCTGTTAGGCCAGCAGGTCTTGGGTAGGAGCTCTTTGCTTAGGCTCTAGTTGGAACAGATAGTTCCATTGGATGTCTATCTTTTGGCTGTTTAAAGTTAACAATATAATATTTATCTCCAAATATAATAGGAGCTTGTGATGCTGTTTGTCTCTCATTAGAAGTCAATGTTTGGTTTAAGATTAACATTACATCCTTCCATTCTAGCTTATAGGTCTGAGTGAATCCTCTAAAGATATCAATGCACTTATCAGGGTCATCTAAAATTTTCCAAGATCTGGCTTTATCTGTTTTAGGTCACTGAAAGGAAAAACGTGCATGAAGTTCCAAATTGTCTTTTTTTCCTCTTTAAAGGATATTACCCTTGAGGAGCTTGCATAAACTCAGCTAAGGCTGGGTGTAGCCCTATAGAGGACTGGATTACAACACAGCTGGTCTGGGAGTCCCACCCTCTAGATTAGAAAAGGGGAACCTTCACTAAGGGTGGGCGAGGCTGCGATGAAGGCTGCCTCGTCCTCAGGCTCCAAAGGGTGGGAAGGCGCAGCCTTAGGCTCTGGGATAGTGAATGCCTTGGGTGCCTGAGCTGCACGGTTCTCCAGCCGCTCACATCTACATTTCAGAACTAGAATAACAATGACTATCTCTGGATGCAAACGAAATCTGAACAGAAGACCTTATGAACCATTTTTGTTCTTTTTTACAATATATTTTAGTTGTAAAATAATTAAAAATTAATACTTCTCTTTGCATTCCATTTTGGCTCTAGGGATTAGGTAGGCCATGTACATGTGCAGAAAAATATTAAACGGCTCTTTTTCAGCATGTAATGGTCAAACTTGGTCCAGTGTTTAATGACGCACTCTTAAGGAGTAAGAGACTGACTGTGAGATACCTCCATCCAGTGATCTCAGTGGATGACCTCCAAATGATATAGGGGAAGGCAACGCCAACCTGAAAGGTGCCCGGTGTAAATTTGTGTTCTCTAAAACTGAAGAATGAACTTTTAGACCAAATAGAGGTTAAGAGCAAGATATGCAAGGGCCTGAGTTCAATCCCCGGTTCCGCAAAAAAAAAAAAAAAAAAAAAAAGCAGAATATATTTATTGGGGGAAAGAAAGCTCCTACCTGAGAGAGAGACAGAAGGGGGACCCAAGTGGGTTTCCCAGGGAATCTGCCCTTTCTAGGGATTTTTATAGAGCGAAACCATGCAGTGAGGCAGGTCTGAGGTGGAACACGTGAGGACTGCCACGTGAGGCGGGATGAAGCAATGGCCAGCCAATCAGGCTACAGGCACAACCGCTCAGCCACACTGACTACGTTGGGATCAAGTAGGGCAGCAAAGGCACATGGCAAGTGGGCAGGAATAAGGAACGGGGCCCTTCCTGTTGGGGGCCCTTCCTGTTGGGGGCTGGTTAGTGACTCCTGCTGGCTCTTTCAAGGTGATGATCAATCCCAGACGCTCATCTTTAGGGAGGTAAGCGTTTGTTCCATCTTTGGTCTTTAAGTCTGGCCCTCAGCTGGGGCATCCATCTGTCTCACAGTTGCAAGGTATCTTGTCTTCCGTGCTGTCTCCCTGAGGGCCCAACCCTGTCTGACTATCTATAATATTTTTAACTAATTCAGCGGCCTACAACAATTGTTTTGCCTGCTGTCCCTCTTTGGGCTGAGAATTTTGCTTTGCCTGATTCATGGTAAGGACAATTTTTTATCTTACAAATAGACAATGTTTCTCTTTGTTCCTCTACATTTCAAGGTTGTTTGTAGTTTTGAATTCTGAAAGTGTTTTTGAGCCTGGCTTCCTGAGCCTGTGGTCAGGAATGTGGGTCCTTGTTCCCTGGCCAGGACTTGGGGTGAGTGAGGCTATGGGGGTCCTGATGTAAGGATGGGGGCACAGCTGATGAAGGTTGCTAACCCATAATGGGGCTTGTCTGGCGGCAGCCACTGCAGACCTTAGTTGGGCCTTTCCACCTTCGGGGGACTTTATTCAACCTCAGAGCTACTGTGGGGCTCCTTGGGGAGGCAGGTGAGACACCGTGTAACTTGGCAACCCTGTGTTGTGGGCCGTTCTCTCAAGGGGTATGCAGCGGGGCTCTCCTGCCAATTCCCGAGTCAGGGAGGCCCTTGGCCCCATCTCTGCCTGAGTCGTCTGAGGTCTGGAGTTCTGTGAATCTAATTAAAACCCAGGAGGAAAACAGAAAGCCCCTCTTGGAGTGGATGCAGTGAAAAGCCCTGTGTGGATGGTGGTTGTGGGCCCAGTGTGGTCTGGGTGGGTGCAGCACAGGTCAGGGCAGCACAAGGGTGATGGCGGAGACTGTGCGTCTCCTACCTAGCAACTGGCAACCGGGCTACACACTTCCTGGAGCAGAGCTGTCTCTGGCTCCAGGCTCTGGCACCCGATGTGGTTTGCCACCAAGTAGCTCCTTAGTTGTGGGCTCTGAATTTCCTTCTCCAGAGGTTCCTGAGTGGGATTAAAGGAGATTCTGAAATATTTAAGGGACGATATCTTTGGGATTTTTGTTATTGTTGTTGTTTGTTTTGTATTTTTTAGGGAAGGGTCTATAAGGTGTTCAGGGTCTCACTACTAGATCGGACTCACAGTGATCTGCCTGTTTACAGCCTCCCAAGAGCTGGGATTACAGGCGTGCACCACCACGCCCAGTCTCAATTGCTGACTCAGCACACCCTGGGGGTGGGGCCGGCATGGCAGGGCAGGCCCTAGGATCAAACCCCTGGCCCCTGCACCTGCTTGCAGGTGCTTTAATCCTCTGAGCTATTTGTCCAGCCCTGGGAAGACATCTTTGAATACAATGTGGGTTCTGCCAAGAAGGAAAGGGAAAGGGCTTTGTGAGCCAAAGGTAGATCCTCAGTTATCTGTGGTTTTTATTTATTTATTTATTTGTGTGTGTGTGTGTGTGTGTGTGGCCAGCTCAGCCCACCAGGGGGCGGGGCTGGCTGGCATGTGGTGCGGGGGGATTGAACCGCGGTCCCTGTGCTTTGCCAAGCTTGTTTCAAGTAGGTGCTTTAGACCACTGAGCCATCTCTCCAGCCCTAAGCTTGTTTTTTTTAAGTAGGTGCTTTAGACCACTGAGCTATCTCACCAGCCCTATCTGTGGTTTTAATCAGGGTGGAGTGGGAGTTCCTGGGGCTAAGTCCTGGGAGAAAACTATTGAGTTAGGAAGCTCCTCTGTGACTTGCCTGAGATTACATGACGGGGTGAGTGGTAGCAGAGTCAATCCCAGAGAAGGTGTTGCCTACCGAGGGCTCTAGAGTTGCTGGGCAGGTTGGCAAATGGCTCTCAGCAGGGAGCCTGGAACACAGGACCAAGCCCTGAGCCGGTCAAGCTGCAGCAGAAGTGAGTTGCATTTGGGTGGACAAAGTGGCCCAGTCGGGACAGAATGGGCAGTGCCCGGAGGCGTGCGGTTGGGGTCCCGTGGCCCGGATTTGCCTTTTCTTCACCAGCAGTTTGCAGCTGTGCCTACTGTGTGCCCAGCCACATGTTAGCCAGGGAGGTGGGAATGAAGAGGCTTGGGAGTTGGGATGAAGGAGCTACACAAGCGGCCCTTGCCCTCCCCCCACCCCGTGGAGGCCGTCTTGGGAGGAGAGAGGCTGTCCCTGGGAGACCCTGGGGCCTCTCAGAAGAAGTGGTGCACTTCAGTGCTCAGGGTTGGTTTCAGCAGGAGAGAGTGTGGCTTCTGGCTCCAGGGTCTCCCTAGGCAAGTTCAGCACAGGCTTTAGGAAGGGGCTGACATGGTGCCCTGGGCCTTAGGGCCTTACAGAGGAGGCAAGTCACCATCTCCGTCTTCTGCAGCGTCTCCATTCCCCAGAATATCCTGAGAAGATGCTGTCTGAGACCACTCTGGTTCCTTCCTCCAGGCAGAGGGGTTGTGACATCACAGGGGTGAGCAGGGGGCATGGCATCCAGGTGACACTGGAGAGCAGTCCCTGGTAGATGGCACCACGCCCTCAGCGCCAAAGATGCCCCCCCCCCCGCCCCACTCCTTCCCACCCCTCCAGTGCTGGGCTTCATGAGTCCACTCGGCCGCGGCTGGAGCCCTGATCTCTGATGAGTGTCTCAGAGCTGCCTCAGGAGGCAAGCTCCCCTCCAGGATTGGAGAAGAGGCGGGATGGGGGATGAGGGGCACTTGTCAAGACCCTGGCAAACTGGCAGTCAGAGGGTTAAGGCTGGGTTGCCTGACTCCAAGTTGATCGGAGCCAGCCCCGCCCCGCCCCCTGTTCGGGTGAAGGGGGGCCATCTGGGGCCTTGAGAGGGCCGTGGCTCCTCGCAGAGCTGCCAGACCTGCTCCTGCAGCCACCAGGGAGTCCCGCGGCCAGGCTAACACCTCTCCCACCAGCCTGCTTCTCAGAGCAGCAGCTGTTGCTACCGGCTGTCCCCAGGGGCAGGGCCTTCTCCACTTTTGTGCTCTGATCGAGATGTGGTAACCTCTTTCCCTGGGCCCCACAGGCCCTATAAAGGGAGGCTGGTTCTAGTGGGACCAGCTCGGCCACCTCCTCAGTGCCAGGATCCCGCTGGAAAGGTAGGGGGTGAATGAATCTGCTTTGGCAAGTTGTCTTTGAGCCCCTCTGTCTGGCGGATAGAGGGAACAATGACTTCAGCTGACCATTACCTACCAAGTGCTTCCTTACATGCCTAGCTTTGCCCTCTCTCTGTCCAGGAGCCTGACTGAGTGGAGGCCCCAAGGTGCCTGTGACCTGCCCAAGGCCACACAGCTATCAAGAGTGGACCCTTCTGAGTCCAGTACCAGAATCTCCCATTAGGTGCCTCCTCAAGCTTATTTGTAGAAGTCCCTGGGCCCTAGGAGAGGCTGACATTTTCTTTTTGGAGCTCTTTCCTGCGCATTGAGGGGGTTCTTTGGCCATTTGGTGTCTCGGCTTGTGTATCTGCGCTATTTCCTGAACCCTGGGAAGTTCGTAGGGACCCAGAACCCAGGTGTAAGTTGGCAGCCCAGAACCCACAGAGGGCAGCTGGGTGGCTCCTGGGAAAGGGAAGACCCTGAGGGGCATAGAGGGGCTTGGTGCCAGGCTGATGTGCATGGACTTGGGACACAGAGAGCTAGGTCATGTTTGGGTGCAGTAACAGGACCTTATCACATATATCCACGTAGCAGGAAAAAATTGGCTCGGAGTACCCTGTGGTTAGAGCAGGGAGCCCTGTGAAAGGCTGGTTTTGGGGGTCTCAGCTGCCCTTGGTGCTGGCTAGATAAGGCCTGGGCCTGGGGTGGCAGGGCATGGTGGGGGAGGTGTGCAGGAAGTGTGGCTCTCTCCCGGAGCCACATGGCCAGGGGGGCAGCAGGCCTGGAGTGCTGGGTTGAGATGATGCTCCCATAAGGTCTCGTGCAGCTAAGCCAGTGGCCCCAGGACCCTTGCAGGGGCCACATTTCTGGGCCACCCTGCTTCCCTCAGGGTCCTTCTTCCTGTCTCCCCATCCTGGATCACAAGGGCTGTGGCTTCCGCTATCCAGCCTCTATGCCCCCCATCCAGCCGAGGACATGGGCGTGGGGTCCCAACGCCTTCAGCCTGTGGTGCCACTTGGTTCTGTGCCTAGGGAAAAGGCACAGGCAATGCCAGGAGGGCAGGAGGAGGAGGCGAGTTCTTGCCGAGCATGCTGGTTGCTCCTGCCAGGTGAATATTTACAAACATTCCCAGCCACTCACTTGGCAACGCCAGCACCACTGATCCCTTGGGTGCTGTCCGCCCCCAGCCCATGGCTGCCGTAACCCAGAGAGGTTCCTAGGGCACAGAAGAAGGCAACCATGGCTAGAACCCCAGGGACCACCTAGCACCACCCCAAGTTGACAGAGAGGTCAAAGGAGGCCAAGGCCCCATGAACAGTGAGAGAGACTCAACTCCCAGACCTCTCACAGGCCAAGGGCTTGGTGATGTGGGCAGACTCCAAGGCCCGTGTCCTCAGAGGACCTGGACTCGCAGCTGTGCCCTGCAGCAGCGCCCAGTCTGAAGGGAACCTCGGGGTAAATATGCAGTCGAACCTCACTGGTTCAGCAGTCTGAGAAGAGCAGTGATCCTAGAAGAATATAGATCTTCTGGTCACTGCCCAGCCAAGTAGAGAGATAGATCTTCTGGTCACTGCCCAGCCAAGTAGAGGGATAGGCCCGGTCTTGGGGCCAGAGCAGCTGTAGCTACTACAGATGCTTCGTTGGGGGTGGGAACCTTGCCTGATAGCCAAGTTCTCTGCCAACTGCTCTCCATTGCCCAGGGGGGAAGAAAAGACCTCTCCAAGAGGAGGTGGCAAGTTCCTGATGTGGGGCCAGGAGGAAGCCCACCTGCTAAGGGTGCTGGATGAGCAGCCCTGTGTGCTGATCCCCGTGTCCAGGTCTGCTGGCCTGTGCCTCCATCCACCATACAGAGTGCAGGGAGCTCTGAGGATTGCACCGTGCCACTCACAGGAAAGGGCTTCCCAGGCATCAGGCATTCAGGAAGTTTAGGCAAGTTCCACTTTTCCTTCTGAGGGCTGTGCTAATTAATACAGCAACCTCATAAAGCTCAGCATATCCCAGGGGCCAGCCTCACACTTACGGTGCTGACCTTCATACAGGATTTCACGGGCCTAAAACTTTGTTATCTGAACAGAATATTCAATTTCCTGAATATTCCATACACTCTTACAACTCCAGCCTTTGTGTCTACTTGTCTCTGCTGGGCCCCCATTCCTCTTTATCCTATATCTCAGCATCAGTATTGCTTCCTGTCAGGAGCCTGCCCTGACCCACCATACCTGAAAGAGGCACTTCCTCTGGCTTGCCACATCTGACCACAGCCTGGGCTACACTGCCCTCTGTCCTTCATGTCTCCTCCCATGGAACTGAGAAGAGGCCTAATATTGAAGTAGGTGACAGAAAGGGCCATGTGAGGGTCTGCTGGCTGGCCAAGGACCAGATGGGTGGATGGATGGATGGATGGATGGATGGGTGGATGGATGGATGGATAGGTGAGTGGATAGATGAATGGATGGGGGATAGATGGATGGGTGGATGGATGGAAAGAAGGAAGGATGGATGGATGGATGGATGGATGG